TCCGAGGGCGTGGGAACGGGGAGCGCGCGCAGCGGGCGGCCGGACACGGACAGCAGGTCCACCTGGTTGACCCGTCCCGGGGGGCTCAGGCCGCTGGACTTCAGCAGGGCGTGAGCCGGCACTCCTGAGAGACAGCAGGGTAAGAGACGCGTCGCGGTCCTGAGGTCACAGCAGAAGCAAAGCCTGTGCTCGCACTCAGAGCCTCGGGCTGTAAAATAATAAGGCACGCCCATAACCTGGCTCTCCTCGCCCTCGAGTCTGCAGTAATGCTCTTTTACCACCTCATGCAAACTCCTACAAGCACTGCAAGCTCTTTGTGCGGCACACTGTGCTGGACCACCTTTTCTCTATGCTGTCCTCATGCTTCTAGCACGACTCTGCTGCACCCCACTGCACTTGTGGTTTGGTACACCACAGACAGAGGCCATGAGCAGGCTCTTCTCACGTTCAGAAAAGCACAGCTTGAGACCATCTTGTAAACCGTTTAGTAACAGCTCACAGGACCCCTCCTTCCCACTTCTCGACAGACACCGGTGAGTCAGTAATTGGGCTAATATTTGTTTCCGGGAAAATACAGTAAGCTCACCGCATCGCACAGGGGGCTGACCGGGAAGCTCAGATGCCTGCTAAAAAATGACACCCTTACTAGTGTCCAGTAAGCCTGGCAAAGCAGTAATCTGCATCACAGCTGAGTCTCAAAGAAATACAGCTGCTACCTTCAGAACTGATTCTGTGACACTGAATGCGTGCCCTACAGCACCCAGGGTGAATAAACTCTAGAGCTGGTGGGAGCTGGTGTTGTGGGGGGGGTGCATCGTGTGGCCAGTACCTTCTACGGGCCTCTCCCGGGTCTGGCTGAAGTCGGTCACCGGCCTGCTGGAGAACCCCGCTCGGAAGTCCAAGTTACTGACCCCCGTGACCCTGAGACTGTGGCGGCCACTGCAGCTCACCTGGACGGGGCCAAAGGGGGAGAGGGTGTCAAAACAGAGACGCGCAGACGCTCGATCAGGAGTGCTTTGTGCGCCAGCGCTGGAAAATTTAGGGGCGACATGAAATCTCCTTATTTTCAAGAGTTTGGAACAATATGAGAAGCTTCTTCCGTTATCAATCAGCATGTTCAGAGCACAGGATGGCTCCCATGGTTCGAAGATATCCGGTCGGGGCTGTGGCTTGAACTGACTGACCCAGCTTCCCTGATGGGCACGGCGCACAGCTGTCCGACCGGCACCGCAGGAGGGACACGCAAGCGATGAACCCCCACGCCGTCGAGCAACAGCGTCTCCTGCGGCATGCCGGGAAAGGACCCGCCCGCTTTTGTTTTGTAAGCCGCGGTTACAAAAGGGGGCGCCACTCCGCCATCGACAACCGGGCGCGCGTCTCGAGAAGGACAGCCCGGCCTCCGGCGCCAACCTACCCTCAGCGTCCAGGTGCCCGGCCTCGGGTGCTTGACGCCAACCACGCGGGCGGAGTTGGGGATGTTCAGCAGCTCGGTCAGGCCCAGCTCCTCCCCAACGATGCGGCCTTGAGACACAGGAGAGGGGCGTTCCAGTGGCCACTTGTAGCCATTGAAAACCCCTCCCATAGAAAGCCATGCATCGCAACATCTCTCTCTCTCTCCCCCGCCTGAAGCTGGCATTAAAACTTAGCCCCGTGTACAGCTTCAAGCAAACCCTGCGGCAGCACCACAGCGGGTGTTTTTCACAGCTCACACCTGTGGCTGAGGGACGCTGGCGAACATGCTTAGATATGCAGACACGGCTGTAAGCCCAGGAAAGCGCTGAACTGATACCCACACCCACGTAAACACACAAGGGAAGTGGCCCCCTTGCTCATGTTACCGTAGGGATCGCGCAGCTCAATCTCGGGAGCCGGGCCGCTCAGGGAGACGGTGACTTCCCTCAGACTGGGGTCAAAGGGCACCGGCCACCGGTTCTCCTCCCCGCCCTCGTGGTCCGTCGAGAGCAGGTGGACCTTCATCGACTGCACCGTCTCCTCCACCCACTTCAGCACCTGCGGCGGCAACGGGCAGGGGGGGAAAAAACGGCAAGGTCATCCGCCTGAACCCGAGGACAGCCCCCCGCCGCAGTCCTGGACAGCTGGAGAGCAATAACTGGAGCAAGAGGGGAGTTACAGCAGCAGAGTGACATCTAGTATTGAAACCAATGACTCCATTCTGGGCTTCAGAGCTTTAACCAGCTGACAACACAACCACGTTGTTATATGTTGGTTGCAGCGGCTATAGGCATCTGCTAAAATTAATAATAGCAATAGGTCCAGTTAAGTCATTGCTTTCCAGGATCAGGGTGTAGATCTCTAGCGCAGGGAACAGCATGCTTCAGTAAAAAGCAATTACTGACGGCAGTTTGTACCCTATTATTACCTTATTATTGCAAGATCCCTACACATCAGCTGAGCCTTTCATACTGTAATGCCAAAGCACAATCCAACAGCTGGAGAAAACTTGCGCTGTGTCTATAGTTCCGTGTGGCCTTAAGATCGTATTCCCAGTAGTGCTTTCCATACACTAAATGCTTATTGCACCCCACAGAAGCCAATGCACAGAGCCAGTTTTAATACTTTAGAAGTTGTGTGCTGTCAGGAAAAGTTTGCCAGCTATCTCGGCAAAGGGAGGCATGCCCTAGATTATTCACAGGTTTA